TCCTCCTTGCTGAGAACTTTCTCATCTTTCCACAGCCATTCAAAGCTCCCCTGCTGGCAGAAGTTCAGGTCCTAGATTGGGATTTCCCCTGAGGGTCAGGGGAAACTCTGTACTGATCCCAGCTGTACCAATCCTAGCTGTTCCATGGGGTGCCCCTAATCCCAGTCGAGTCTTTGCAACTTCTTCACCTGGAAAAGAAGTGATGCACAGGGCAATATTTCTCTTTTTAAAATGCCTCAGTAGCTGTAGAGGCCTCAGCTCTGTGTCCCAGGTGGTGGCACAGAGACTGTGGTGCCACTGGTGGCTCAGAGAAGAGTGAAAGGCAGCCCAGGATGGTTTTGTGAGGAAAGGTTCCAGTACCCTTTTGCACCCATTATCCACAAATCCAAGGCTTTGGTAAATCCTCCCAAGAGTCACAGGTGGAAGATTTCAGTGGTCACAAACAGACAAGAGTATAGTTTACCTAACCCAGCACCCTGAATTCATTTTGGTTGATTTTCTGCTTCTGCAGAAAATGCAATTAAATCTAGAATTGAAAGCTAATAGAAACCTGTTCTTGGAGGTGTTTCTTCAGAGACTTCAGGAGTTTCAGGCTGGAACATTCCCTAAGGCCAGATCTATGCTGTTCCCTGCAAATATAAATTTTTTTTATGACCTCAATAATTCTAAATTATTTCAGTAGCCATATCTATTAATGTTAAGTCTATTTTCCAAAACTGTACCATAATCTTGGCCTCAGGTGCATCTTGCAGCAGAGGGTTCTGTAGGTTGCCTGGAAGATTGCTGGAATTAGAGGTTTGCTTTTCATGTAAAATATTGTAATTCAGACAGCCAAGTTTAAAATATATTTTTTTTTTGACATTAAAAAGGAAGCTGAACAAGGCCATATCATTTTCTTGACTATTGAGGTTGGAGCAGATGACCCCACTGGTGTTCCCTTCCTTTGATTCCAATCCCAATGAATCAACCGCACACAAAGAAATAAAACAGCCAAATGCTATGTAAAACCTATAAAAAAGCTTGAAAAATGTCACTAAGTAAATTCAAATAATGCATAACTTAGAGGGAATTGCAACTGGTTCGTGGATATTCTATGAGCAGAAGATAAACATCTAAGTTATTTGCATAAATTATTCATCGTAACATATTTGCTCAGCTTTTCTTGTCAGCTGAGAAAGCCACACAACCAAGCACAGGGAGAGTGGAGCAGAACTGGGCTTTCACCTCCTGATGTGCCCTGGGAGCAGGAAGCCCTGGGGAGGGGTGGCATCAGTAACAGCTGGGTGGAAAAGTCTCCTTCACTGTCGTGCTTTAGAGGTGGATTCTGCTCAGGGCTCATCTCCTGCATGGGTGGGGACTGGGATTGTCCCTTGGCAGCAGGAAAGGCTGAAGATATGACAGTGATTTCTTTTAAACTCCTGCTTTGGCCTTCTGTCAGTGGTTCAAAGGGTGGTGTTGGACCTGATGTAAAAAATGAACCCACTTTCCCTTTGGACTCATTGTTTATCGAAATGTCATTCTCCTTTCCTGCCTTCATTGCCCATCACTTCCCAGTTTGCCCTGTCCATCTCCACACCCTGAGTGGAGGCACTCCCAGGCTCTGGGTGCTGATAAATCATGGAATCCTGGAGTGGTTTGAGTCAGAAGAGACCTTAAAGCCCATCCCATTCCACCCCCTGCCATGGGCAGGGACACCTTCCACTGTCCCAGGCTGCTCCAAGCCCTGTCCATGTACACTTCCAGGGATCCAGGGACAGCCACAGCTTCCCTGAAGAAGAGTAGGGATCAATACCTGACCAGCTGCACATTTCAACTCTTTGCTGCTAAACTGTCTGTTGCAAAGCAGCAAAAGCAAACTTTCTGTATTTTATTGGGAACATGAAACATTCCCTGGACCCTTTCTGAAAACATGCTGGCTCTGGAGTGCTCTGGTCCCTCCTGACTTTATGGATACTGCAGGAATTGGAATGTGTGCTTGAGTTTTACAGGAAGCAATAATCCTCTCTTTGGAGGGGAAGCATGGATGACATTCTTCCTATGCTTGCTAGTTATGTTCTTTCTGGTGGAACATGGGTGTGCCTATTTATTATAAAACCTTGCCTGTCTTTGAGCACCCAGCTCTGCCTCTTCCCGTGCACTGAAACTGCTGAAGGGACCATTCCTTCCTCAAAGGGGATTTCCTTGTGGAACAAGGTCTGGGATTGGAACTCTAATCTGGGATGATTGGAGAAACCTCTCTGTAGTGTCAGAGAAAAACTATTTGTCTTTACTTTTTGAGTTTTATCTATCATTAAAATCAACTTTTACACAATTCTGGGACAGCAGAGAACACCCTCTGCTCCATAAAGGGAATACATTGGTCATGTATTTGTTATCTGCAGACAACTTGGGAGCCAATGATCTGTTTCAATCACTCCTTGTGTTAAGAACCCATTGTATGGGGTTTTTTTTTGCCTTTTGACTGAGGTTTTTCTAGGAAGGATGGATGTTTCTTCAGATTGCAAGGTTTGACACTAATGACTCTTGTAATGTAGTAGGAGGTGTGTTTTGTTTTGGCATTTTCACTTGGCTTGTGAAAGCAAGGAACTACAGAGGGGGCATTAGCTCAGGTGTAAGGAGATATTTTGAATTAAATAGCTGGCACTTTGCTACTTTGATGAATGTAACTGCTGTCAGGCAGCGTGGAGTGTTGTGAAGGGGCACAATCAAAATAAATACCTGCATAATTACATTAAGTCAAATAACCTAACACACACAGAGTGGACTGAGTACAGAATCAACCTGGGCAGAAATAATCTGGTTTGTGATCCTGACTTGCTGCTGAGTCTCTGAATGTGCCTGTGTGTCAGGGTCTGTGCCAGCCAGATGGGGCTGTTGTGCTGGAAGGACACTCCCTGATGGGAAGTGCTGCCTCGGGGCCAGGGGTTGTCATTCCTGGTTTGGACTGGGTTTTATGGGTTATTCACACCAGCCACAGAGACAGATTTTAACCCAGGATCCTGCTGGGGGTGCCAAGTCTACCTGGAGGTTTCCAGTCAGTCTTTGCTGGGTTACAGGGTCAGCTGGGTGCCTGCAGAGAGTGCCCCTGTCCCAGTTCGTGCCTCAGAATTATACCTGTGCCATCTAAGCACCCAGTCCTCAAATCCAACCCCAAGTCCTTAATTCTGATCAGTGGTCCCTTAACTTCTCATTGTTTTTACTGGGGCTGGCCTTCTTCTGAGGTGACTTCATTCTCTTGGAAGAGTTTCCTTGGTCCTTATCTTCATTCCACTTGTTTCTGCTGAATTCAGCTTGTTCTTTGTTAGCAGCACTAATTTTCTCAAAGAAGTTTACTCTTGGTCAGCTCTTGCACATGAAGGCTTCCTCTGCTGAGCCCCACTAATGCTACACAAGATTATTCCCAGAGAACACTGTTATTAAATTTCTTCTGTAACAATGGAATAAAGTTAATTTTTTTCCAGAGAGGCTGGTATGGGGCTGTGCTTTGGATTTTGCTGGAAACAGTGCTGATAACACAGGTGTGTTGCTGAGCAGAGTTCACACAGGTCAGGGCTCTTCTGCCTCTCATCCCACCCCGCCAGTGATGAGGTTGGGATGCACAAGGAGCTGTGGGGGGACAAAGCCTGGAGAGCTGACCCCAGCTGACCCCAGGGATATCCCACACCCCAGGACATCATGCTCAGCTTGTAGGGCTGAGGAAGGAGGAGGAAAGGGGGATATGAGGTGTGAGGAAGTTTGTCTTCCCCAGTCACTCCAGGATGGAGTCCTGGAGATGGCTGAACTCCAGACTGTGATGGGAAGTGGGGAATGAACTCCTTGTTTTGCTTTGCTTGCCTGTGCAGCTTTTGCTTTATCTGCTGAACTGTTTATCTCAACTCATGAGTTCTCTCACTTTGACCCTTCTGACTCTTCCTCTAGGGGGAGTGAGTGGCTGCGTGGGGCTGAGCTGCCAACTGGGATTAAAACACAACACCTATAATCTAAATAAAATATTTGTCTTAACCCAAGTTACAGGAATAGGTGGATGAAAAGTGACAGAGAAGCCTGTGAGCTGATGGTCTGGGAGATAGCTTAAGATAGAGCAGGTGCATTGTAGGAGAATGGGTATAAATAACATCCTCTCCTTTAAGGAAGGCTTTGCTCAATATTTTTTGAGAGACATGAATAGGTTTCTCATTTTTCAGGTGCTCAGCTGGTGATGTTTCAGAGGCCTGATTTTTAGATTGCAGGTGTGCAAGCTTTTCTCTAGGCATTTCCCTCTGTGTCATTTCAAAATGGATACCTGCAATAAAGAACTGCTTTTGCAAACATTAACTTTATTTTTTCCCCAGTTCCTCTCAGTTTAAAAGCATGGATTTGAGAATCACTTTGTTTTTTTTTTTTCCTAAAACAAGAACAAAACCTCCGCTTTCATCCTGGACTCTGCTTATACCTGAATCCATGCTTTTACATGGTTTATCTCAAAAATTGTTTTCCAAAATGCTCTTTTGCTGTACTCATGGTGCTGAAAGATGAAGATGTTTGGAGAAAATGTATTTTATTTAGCTTTGTTTTGCAAAAGTGTGCTAGGAAGGCTTGTGGGCATTAAAGATACAACAATGATCACTTTGGGCTAGATCCGTGGTCTAGACCATTTGCTGACAGAGACCAGAATTTGCTGCTTTATGGAGAAGTGAAAGACCCCAAAGTGTGGGAGGGTGAAAGGACCCTGCTTTTGTTTTATGGAAGTCTAGCTCTCTGACAAACACCTCTGATGACTCCAAGTGCATCTCCTCCCCAGCCTGATCCTTGTAGTGTATGGTTATTGTGCAGTAATGTCTCGCTTTTCCTCTTCTCCTCCCCTTCCCTCTGTCCAGCCTCGTGGCCTCATGTGTGTATCCACGTGGGGGTGTCCAACAGGCTTGGCCCCTTCTCCATCCTCCTTTCCCACTCCCGGTGACTCTCCCTGCCTCTCCAGACTGGGAGCCTCACCCCTGTTGTGTTCCTGTGTTGTGGCACAGGGAGTTTGCCCGTTGGAAGGTGAGGAACACAGCCATCGAGAGGAGGGACCTGCTCCACAACCCACTGCCCCTGATGCCCGAGTTCCAGAGGAGCATCCGCCTGCTGGGCAGGAGACCCACCACGCAGCAGTTCATTGACACCATCATCAAAAAGTACGGCACCCACCTCCTCATCTCTGCCACCCTGGGAGGTAGGTGGCACCGGGGCTGGCTCTGCTCAGGGGGCTCTGGGGGGTGGTGAAGGCACTGGGCAGTGCTGGAAGTGTGTCCAGTTTGGCATGGAGCTCCTGGGGTGAGCCCACCAGGGGTGAGGGGAGCAGGGCATCTGTTGTGAGGGACAGCTGGGGGAGCTGGGGCTGTTCAGTCGCCAGAAGAGATGACTGTCACTCTAGGACATGAAATAGAAAGACGTGGACACTGGATTCTCCAAGGGGAAAAGGAGAGAAGTTTAATTCTGACTCCAACATCTATAGATTTCCAAAAGTGACAGTGGATTGGAGGGTGACAGTGCCACCTCTCCAATGACACTGGACAAACCAATAGTCTATCAAATTTCTCCTCCTCCATAAAAGAATGCAAAACAATTAATTATTTACATAAAGTCTGCGAGAAAGTTCGTTACAAGAATGTAAATATCAGAAGGCTTAGAAGAACTCAAAAGAACAGGGCGACAAGATGACTTGAGAGGAGACCTCATTAATGCGTATAATTATCTAAAGGGGGGCCTAGAGCATGGATCAGGCTCATCCTGGTGGTGCCAGCCACAAAGACAAGAGGAACAGGCAGAAACTGATGCCCTGGAAGTTCCAGCTGAATGTGAGGAAGAATTTCTTGGGATCATTGGAACAAATTGCCCAGAGAGGGTGTGGAGTCTCCTCACAGGAGATATTCCAGAAGCAGCTGGATGCAGTCCTGTGCCATGTGCTCTGGCATGACCCTGTAGAGCAGGGAGGCTGGACCAAATACCCCACTGTGGTCCTTGCCACTCTGAACCACCTTGTGACTCTGAAAGCAGTGGGGGCACAGGCCAGGCTGCAGCTCCCCCTCCCAAAGCCCATCCATGTCCCCAAAGCCCACCTGTGTCCCCAAAGCCCACCTGTGTCCCCAAGGAGCCTTTGCAAATGAATTCAGAGTTTGAGGTGGGAGTTGTGCCCCTGTGCTGCTCTGACCACCGTGGCTGTCAGGAGAAACACGTCCCTCAGCTGGGGGACTGTCCTGCCAGCCCTGCACCACTGCCCTCAGCTTCACAACAGAACGTGTTCAGCCCTCTTTTTCACAGGATGAAAACAAATGTAGGGGGGAAAAGCATCCTTTCTTGCTGGAACTGGAGGAATTTTAAAGAGCTCCAGGAAAAGGGAGTTCAAGGAGCTGGGCAGGGAGTGTGAACAGAGGGGAAGAGATGGCCAGAAGGCTGAATGCATTAACATGGAGCAGACTTCTGGAAAAACAGCACTTCAGTAAAATTCAAAATGTATATGCAAGGGCTGCAGAGAGGTCTGTGTGTGTGCACAGAATGTGTCAGGGATGACATCAGAGAGAGCCCTGTAGGGCCATGAACTCCTGAGCAGGCGCTGCTGGTGGTGCTGCAGGAACATTTTGAGTAGCTACTGTTGAACACTGGAGGGGTGAAAATCAGCAGCTCCTATTGATGTTTACTCCTGGTTCCTTTTTCCACTCTGTATTATTTTCATGGTTCTTTTCCCCCTTTGGGGTGTGCCTTTCTTTCATTTAAATGCTTTTCTTCCAAGAACAGCTATCTGTGAGAAGGATTCTGCAGTGGTAAAGGTTCAATTTTACTTCAAAATTTGTTGTTGCTGCTTCTTTTAAAGTACCTCACCTCCAGCCTTGCCACATTGCTGCATTTGTAGTGAACTTTGAGGAATTTCTGGCCATCTGTCTGTTCCCAGAACATTCTGCAGACACTGGGATGAGATTAGATGTGTGCATATGATTCATGCACAAATTAGGTGGTAGGTAAATTGGCACAGTTCCCCTGAAGTCCAATGGCCTCTGGTGTGGTGATGTCCTTCAAAGATCCTTGGGCTGCTCTTCCAGTCCAGGCACCCAAAGAAGTCCATTCCACCAGCAAGAAATGTGAGAGAAAGGAGGTTTTCAAGCATTGAAGAACACAAGTGACTGCTTTCTTCAGGCCTTAATGAAGTCTGGGTAAAGATAAACTGCTTTTTATTGAGGAATTCACTTTTCAGGACCGTGTTTTACAGAGCCCAAGACAGCCAAGTAGAGATTTTTTTTTTTTTTTTTTTTTGCTGGTTTGTTTTTTTTCCATTGACATTCCTCTTTTTCTTGCCACTCACATCCATGAAAATTCAAAATAAGAAAGACCCTTGATGGTAAAATATATTTTTAATTTTGCCTGGTTGCTGAAGTTGTAAATTATTCACAGGGGCTTGTTTCTTCTCCTGATTTTACAACACAACAACTTTAAATATGCAGAGACTTGTAATGAGAACTGGTGTTGGAGGGGAGCACTAAACAGCCCACCAGCCCTGAGCATGGTGAGCAATGGTAGGGAGAAAAAGAGGATTTATCTTGGCAATGGCAGTCCCAGGGAAAATGCAGATGGAGCTGGGCATGCATTATCCATGGAGGACACGATCTAATCGCAGTCTGGGGGCTAGACAAGAGCTCTGGGGCATAAAAGCAGACATGTCCTGGCTCTCCCAGGAGCTGGTGTCTCCCCAGCAGAGCTCCAAGCAGTTCTGCCCTGGGTTACGGCTGTTTGTAGCCCAGCCTGGTGTCTGAGGAGGTGGCAGATAGTGACAAGCACGCAGGAAATTGCTGGCTTTGAAACGCCAGCTGCTGCACGGCCCCCAGGAGGGTGGGACATGGAGCAGCACCTGAACACAGCAGTTTTCACACCTGGCCACAGGAGGAACAGCTCTGGTGGCTTTCATCCTACCGAGCAGCCAGGGCCCCCAGAGCCCAGTGAAAACGCAGCTCTGCTCCAGTCTGCTTCTGACAAAGGCACTGGGGAAGGGTCACTTTGAGGGCATCCATGCTCTGGGATGGAGCACACAGAGCTGAGAGCCAATTTTCAGGAAAATCCCTCAAGGAAAAACAACTTTGAACATATCATTCACTTAATTAAAGGAGAAATTAAGACTTAATAATGCAGGAAAATTCTGTTAACCTCTCTTGATCCAAGAGTTGCTTTCCCATGTGACCCCTCCATGGGGATGCTGTGCTTTTCCAGCTCTGCACAGTGCTACACAAAATAGGTTTCCAGCAGCAGTGTCCCTGCTCAGCACCCCTCAGTCCTAGGGACAGCACTGCTCCTTCAGGAAAAAGCATTATTGCTCATGGACTTCTCTGTTTTCTTCCTTTTGAGGGAAAAAATGACAACTTTTGTGGGGAAATCACTGATCCCCACTGCCCCAGAGCACGGGGTTCTCTTCTCTGCTGTGTTTCTTAGTGCCTGGTTCATGTTGTGTAGGGACCAAATCCAAGAGGAGATCTGCTGCTGCCTGATGTGATTCCACCCAGGCTCCCAGCCTGCCCTCTGGCCCAGGATTCCAGCTTCAGCATTCCAGACTCAGCATTCCTCTAGTGAAAATGAGCCAGGCTGGAATGAAAAATTACTGATTTTTGTGCCTTGGCTGTTAATATGAGGCATTATTTTTTTCCAGGAAAAGTAGGGTTTTTCCCAGTTATTGGTGCAATTGATGAAGAGTTGATGGCTGTGAATCACAGCTAAGGGGAGCATTATCCCAAATCTTCCTTCTCCTGCCACAGACTCACAAAACAGTGGTGAAATATAATTTCTCATTTCTCTCTGCTGCATCTCCTTGCAGTTAAATGCTTCTGTTACATGAGAGATCCAGAACTTCTAGCTCAAAATACACCTTCCCACTGATCAAGCCTTTTCAGTGGCAAATGAGTTAATTTGCTAAAATTGACAAAATTCCTTCAAATCTCCCTGAAAAACACAAAGAGATGAAACTTGGAAATGCATTGAGTGGTCAGTGCAGTGACCACTGCTCCTCACACTGATCACTGACATTTTATTTATCACCTGTGCCTTGTTGGCTGTTTGCTGTATTCAACTGTTGTGTCTCATCAGATACAGGGGGTTAAATCCTCTGGAAGATGGATTGACTTTGTTTGTGTGGACAGAGCCTGATGTGGCAGAGCCTTGGTCCCTGCCAAGGTCTCCTCACAAGCTCCACACATAAAAATGGTAATGGTGATAAAGGAAATCAAAGCTGGTCATTTTCCAGGGAAAGTGTTTTTGTGAGAGGTAACAATAACGACATTGTTACTACCACAGCTTTGATAGTGGTGGAAGGCTAGTCTGCTATTTTCAACAAAATATTAAAGAGAAAGTTCTACATGCCTAACTTCTTCACTTAGGTCCTGCAAACTTAATTAAAAGATTTCAACTGATCAATTATTTTGATGAAAAGTACCTTCTTTCCACAAAAAAAAAAAAAAAAACCAACAAAAAAAAAAGGTGAATTTTTCATCTCAAAGCCAAAGGCTGAATACTCAATACAACTATTGCTTGAAAAACTGAAATCTAATAAAAATATTTTGATTTCCAGCCAGAATATTTTTGGTTTGTTTTCAGGCATTTGGCTTTCAGATAAAAGCTGGAAAATTTCCAGGGAAAGTGAGGGGGAGATCTTACTGGGATTTTGGCTTATTTTTTTCATACATGAAATAAAAGAAATAATTTGGATGAATCAAATTGTTTTAGCTAATAAGAATTTTAAAGAAAAGTAAGCCCTTGCTCTCTTAAAAAAAAATTATGCAAAGATGATGAAGAGTGAGATATTTTTTTGGCCTTGAAAGCAGTGGTACATATTTTTTGGACCATGCCATCACTGCCAGAGGCAGTGCATTCATCAGTGGTTCATCTATCAAATCAGAACAAGCACCATTCTTCTCATTAAGAGAGTTATGTAGAAATGGCACATTCCTCTTCTAGTTGTGTCTTCTCTTCATTTATTAAAATCCAAGTTTCACATGTTAAGGATGCAGGATGGAATTCCACTTTTTAAGACCTCTCACAATGTCAGCCTTATGTTAAGAATGAACTGGATGTTAAGAATGAACAGTGTCTCACCCAGCACAAATTGAATTATTAGGTAAATAGTCCTTCTGAGCTGCACGTCCTTTTCAGATGTGCTTTGTTACATTCAGGTCTCTGCTGATGTTTATCAGTTCTTAACTGCTTCTCTCCCAGATTCTCTGTGGTTTCATTTCAAAATCACCTGCTTTTGTCCCTTACCTTGCATGGTATTTTCACTCGCTATTTATATTCCCTGGATGAGACTCTGGGAGAGGAAAGAAGGCAGCAAGGGTGGTTAGTTCAAATTAACTTTCTTATTTGCTCTTTCCTCTGATTAATTTTCTTTACTCAACCCCTTTCCCTTCCCCTTTTGCAAGGCCACTGGGCGCTGAAGAGGTCCAAGTAACATTTGTTTGTCCACTGTGCCTACCTGCACACAGTGTTCTACTTGCAATCATCATCCCTTCCTTCTAGAAGTCAGGTCAGACAGAGACTTGCACAAAGTGAGATCTCCTCTCAGATGTGCATCATTCTGGAGGCACTGCCCACAGAGAGAACGTACCTCAGGTGGGACAGATGGGCTGAATCCTTGGTGGCAAAGCTCTGCTGGCTAAAAAATATCCAAAATGTTGTCTACTCAATTCAGTGGAGCTGCTTTACTTGTCTGGTGGACTTGGCCTGGCTGTCTGAATAGAGGAGGAGGCTTCTCTGTGTCCCCCTGGGGTCCTGGTGCTGGTGAGGAAGGGTGGATTCCTCCAAGAGTGCTCCAGGTGTTGGACTTCTCTTTCTTTAGGTGCAGCAGATGACACCATTTGCTCCTGTTAAGGTGGCCCTGCCTGGCAGCCTGAAATCTCCTTTTCTCTCTGCTGCAGGAGAGGAGGCCTTGACCATGTACATGGACAAAAGCCGCCTCGACAGAAAGTCAGGAAACGCCACCCAGAGCGTTGAAGCTTTGCACCAGCTCGCGTCCTCCTACTTTGTAGATCGTGATGGCACCATGAGGAGACTCCATGAGATCCAGATCTCTACCGGAGCAATCAAGGTACCACATACTGCCTTAGGAAGAGGAAAAAGATTGTCTGCCTTGTATGGATTCTCTAGGGATGTGGGGCAGGACTTTGCCAGTCTGATGTCTTATTTGGGCACAAGTTGTTTTGTTCCCAGGTTTTCTCTTATTCAGTTGAAGAATTGATTTCCCCAGGATCACTAATGTCTGAAAAGAGGTGGGCATTCAGTGAGATGGTTGTGTAGGACAGGAGACTTTCACTAAGTGTGACAGTGACTTCTGGAAGGAAGAGAGGGAGCAGAGGACCCAGATCAGTGATGGAGGTTGGAAGGGAAAGGCAGGTCTGTGAAATGAACAACCCTGTGCCACCTAGGAGTATTTGTCTCCTGGGGTGTAAGGCTGCCAAACATTTCTCAGCTGAATTTGCTATAAGAAATGGTGAAAAACTCACTGTGGCATTACTGAGGCATCTGGAATGAAACGGACTGAGAGACAGCTTGGGGGTTGCAGCAGGAAGGAAGGGAAGCTGCTCAGAGAATACAAAACAGGGAAAATGGCTCTGCAAAGGCTGCCTTCTCTGAAAGCAATCATCCTACACTGGGCAGGGATTTTATTGTTGCTGAGTTCACTCCAGGGAAGGTGATGTGGATGGAGTCGTCATTGTTAGCCATTTCTGAAAGGTTTCAGCTCTCGTTATTGTTCTGTGCTGTCTCATGGCTGAGGCTGTTCCCTTCTGGATGGGAAATTGTATTGAGATATTGAAACAGTGACAGCAGATAATCACCCGTGGTGAATTCCAGAAGGGCAGGAAACCAACAGCAGCAGCACTGCAGGTCATCTGTGCCTCCATCCATCCTCAGCACAGGGCTGCTGTTCACATCTGTTGTGGGAGCACCAGGCACCACTGTGGGCTGGCAATCCATCTCTGTTTCTTGCTTTCCAATAAGAGAAGCCAGGGAATAATTCCTCTACAGGCTTCTGATGTTCTCCAATGGAGATCCTGTGTGAGAAAAATCAATCTGCAGGATCCCATTGCCAAGCCCAGAATAACCTGAAATACCCTAAAGAAAGCAGCCATAATTCATTCTGATTTTTCAGCTTGAGACTGCACCAAACATTAGCAGGGTCTGTGCAGGGTGGGGCATTTTTTCCCAGCTAGGGAAGATGTGTTTTGGGTTATATCAGTTGGTGACAAGGAGTCCTTGAATTAAAAGATTTAAAAAGCCTGGGGAAGGTATGGTGCTGCAATCAAAGGGAACATTCTCTCTTTTCTACATCCTCTGTAGGTAACAGAAACTCGGACTGGCCCCCTGGGCTGTAACAGCTATGACAATCTGGACTCTGTGAGTTCTGTCCTTCTGCAAAGCACTGAGAGCAAACTCCACCTGCAAGGTAGGGCCCAGAAACCAGGGAGGGGGGTGGAAATGGGAGAGGAGTGCCCTTTTTCTAAGCCCTTCCCCTCTTTGCTGGGATTCTGCTGTGTCTGGAAGTTCCCTGCAGCTTCTGGTGGCTTCACACGAGGCTCAGCTGAGCAGAGCTGGGGCTGACCCCAATGAAGTGTCTGTCTCTGACACTGAATATTGATGGACTCCTGTATATGATACACACACCAACATAAAATAAAAAAAAAGTGACCTCTTCCATCAGTATTGAAGGAGAATTCTGCCCACGTTTCTCTGTCCCTCCCAAACTGCTGATTTGTGTAAGAGGTTTGCAGATCAGCTTTCAGGACTCTCTAATGACCATAATCTTTGGAAAAAGTCAAAGAGGTTTTATTTGGATGCTAGAAGCCATGGCTTCAGTCCCAGATGGGGAGCTAGTCCAAAAGTCAACAGACAGAGGTCATGGCTGAATTAATAAATAAATACATGCTGGTTAGCAAGAAGTCAACTTCAGTAGAAGGAGGAAATTCACTGGGCATGTAATTCATGAAGGTTATTCCCAAGTTTTTGACAAAATAAGGGAATGTGGGATTTAATTGCTCATTTGCCCAGATGGTTTTATTTCTCAAATCCTTGTACTTGCACAAATTTTAATTTTTCAGATGAATGGGCTACATTACATCTTCCGCTTTGAGTATAATTTGGCAAGTGCTGTTTTAATCTTTGGTTTCACAGAAACTGAGTTTCATTTACCAAGTAATGTTGTGGATATAATATTATTGTTGTTATTATTTGCCTTTAAAAATAATATGCAGGTTGTTTTCACTATGGCAGTGATTATCCAAATCACTGAGTTCTAGTTCTTACCTAATTAACAATAAGCAGTTTGAGAGGGTTTTACACTGTGATGATAGCTGCTGGTAATGAAAACCCAAGGATGACACATGAGATAAGTGGGGAAGCAGCTAAATCAGCAGGCAGCTTGGGTTATAGGCAGACAAGTGGGTAAATCAATAGACCTCTATTGCTTATCTGATCCTACAAGAGAGGAGATAAACCAAGAGAGGGGGAAGGAGGTGGAGGAAGAGGGAAAAATTAGGAGAGAGAGGGGATGAGGCTGTGATCTCTGATGGGAGCAGACAGAGAACCTTGGGGGTCAACCACACGTGGGTTTGATGGAGCTCCATGGCTGAACCCAGTGCAGGCAGAGGCTGGGGCCAAGCCAAAGGAGACAGCCAGGGAAGGGAGGAAGGCAGGAGCTCTTCCTAATAGAACAAAGTGACCTTTAAAGCTCCACCTGAGTTTTCTACCTAATCTGGAGTGTGGTTCTTGGGATAATTACCCAGGATCCTTCCTCTGCTCTGAGAGGCCTCATTACAAATTAGTCACAGGGCTGCAGCAGGTAATGGATCGTGACCGAGTCTCCTCTGATCTGATTAGCAGCCGAGCATGAGCTGCTGACAGAAATCCATGTTCCTGCCTTTGTGTCACTCCAGCTCTGAGCCTGGCTCAATAAAAGAGCAGCTTCTTCGTGACAGGGAGAATTTCTCTGTCTGAACTTGCTGCTGCCCAGCCCTGGGACTTGGGGTTTCAAAGCTGTGCCTTTCAGGAGAGACAATGGGTGAAATGTGATTACTCTGGTCTGGTTGGCAAGGTGGTGATCAGCCAAAGGCTGGACTCGAGATCTTGGTGGTCTGTTGAGGCGAACACCCCATGTGTGGAGACATGAGGCTTGACTCCATGTTTCTCAGAGGCTGATTTATTATCTTATATATTATACTAAAATACTACATTAAAACTATACTAAAAGAACAGAGAGAAAAGATGATCAGAAAGCTACAAAGAACAGGACTAGAATAGAATGCATAACAAAAATCTTGTGACTGCTCACAGCCTTGGCACAGGTGGCTGTGATTGGCCATCAATTGAAAACAATCCACATGGACCAATGGAAGATGCACCTGTTGCATTCCACAGCAGCAGATTACAGTATTGTTTACATTTCTTTCTTGAGGCCCTCAGCTCTCAGGAGGGAAAAAATCCCAGGAAAGAATTTTTAATAAAATATCATAGCTACATTGGTCTTTTCCAACCTAAATGATTCCATGAACCCACGTAGGGTTTGGGCAGGTTGATTTCGGGGAGGAAGGTGCAGGCTGACTGGTGCTGCACTTGTGGTTACTGGGACAAAAAAGAATCACTAATTTCTAAACCAGCATCCTTGTGGGCCCAGCATGCATGACATGCTCTGGAGTATGTATATGCATGTATATACACAATATTTATCACAGAAGGTCTCCCTTTTTCCCAGCACTCCCTGAGCAGGATCCCTGTGGTGATGCAGGGCAGGGTGCCAGCAGCTCTACAGCAGCCTCTTGGGAAAGGGGGATTGGTGTTCCCTGCACAAGCGTCCTAGGAAGAAATTGGAAAATTTGACTGAAAAAAAGCAACACTTTGAAAAATTTCAGGAAATCCAGATTTCAGAGGCATGTCCTGTTGTATCAATGCTGTTATTGAGAGTATATGTCAATATTGGAGCATAGCACTATTTCAGTGAGGTGCAGTCCTTCTGTGCTGTTCTAAACTGTGCAACAATAAACAGGAAATGTTGCATAGCAGGTATTTGCTACATCAAATATGGTCATATATTATAATACTATCCATAATGCATGTTGTATGCAATACTTATATATTATTAAATATATTATATTTAAATATTTAGTATTATAATCTTATATATGTGTAAATACCCTTATATATTATACATCTATAACTACATAGAGAGATGTATCATATACCTGCATAGCATATATGATAGTATAACATTAGAATTTACATTACAACTACTATTAAAGCTTTTTCCAAGATGGAAAGAACAGTAATGGCAACACAAAACATTTCAGCTTTTCACTGCAGTGAAATGAGGGAGTATGAAAAAATACATTTAGAAAGTCAAAAGTGCTTTTGGAGTCAACATGCTCTCACAAAATGCTTCAATGGAACTGCATTTTCAACACAGAACTCTTCTGTGGAAAATGTCTCAAATAGCTCTAATTTAGAGCTGGGGAAATTTACCTCTTTTAATGCAGGAAGCCTTTTATATACAGTCTAAAGCCAAACATCTATCTCTAATAGATTTTTCTGGGTGAATTAAGGACATGTTCCCTTGTCAGATACTTCATATTCTGCCTGTAGTTATCTAAGATAAACCTATACCAAATCTGTGCTGCTCTTCATTTTTAAAGAGGAACTTCATGCTTTACAAAGTGGCAGAATTCTCCTCTGATCAATAAATTACCTTCAAAACTAAGATCTTCAAGTCAGCAGCAAACTTTCTTTATGCATCTGTTATCAGCTCCTGAGGCTGCTGTTGGGGATCAGCCCATTCCTTGTGCCCCCTGGCTTGGATTGAGGGATTCTCCCCATGGAAATGGTCCAATATCCCAGTTTTTAAGACCAGCTTGCCCCTCCTCTTGGCTGCTGACATGAGGTTGTTTCATCAGTAGACAGCAGTGAAAGATTGAATATATATAGATATGTGTATATGTGGTTTTTTTGGAATGTTTGCAATATCCAAATACATTTCTTAGAGAACAACACAGCATTTGGGATATTTTATTAAGGTTGTGGCTGGCATCAGGGCTTTCCCTGCTAGCAGAAGCTGCTCAGTGGGGCTGTTATATTCCTTGGGATTACAGCTTTCCTGCTTTACAGGCAGCAACAGAAGCACCCAGAGCAGTGGTCTCAAACGATTGATGCTTTACTGACAACCATAACCCACAGAATTCCAGCAATATTTAGTCCCTGGGCATGGGAGAGAGCTACACATGAAAGAGAGGATGCCAGGACTGGGTGAGGTGTTGCTGCTGGCACAGAGCTTGTAAAATCTCTTGCTGAGATCGGATCACAGAGATGCTCAAAACTAAAGCAAAAAAATTGATATGAATCTGCCCTTGTCTGGGGATGATGAGGAATCTGTGAATATTTATGTGTATATATAAAAAAAATGTTTCTGTGGAAATAGGCACAGCTGTATTTCAGTAACACTGGTTTCTTCCACAAGGAAATTCCTGGCTGGAAGACGTGAGTCACCTGTAATCCCAGCAGCCTGTTTAAAGTCAGGGGGTTGTGTTTGGAGTTGCACACTGGTGCTCCAGTGAGTGGCTGGATTTGGGTGTCACTTGTGCAAACACAGCTGAGTGTGGGCTTCTTGTCAAATTCTTCAGGCAACTGATGGGTTCCAGCAAAACTGCTTTTCTGATGAAGTTAAGTAATTATAAAAGTGCTTTGTTGAGTTGGTGCTAAGTGTACAGAAATCTGATTGCCCCTTAAGCATGATATTATTTCTTACAAGAGGATGTTTTCCTGGAAATGTTATTTTTTTTCAGAAGTCATGAGTTTCATGGGCAAAAAGAGAGTATCCATGTGAAGCACTGTAGTAAAACATGTTGTGTTTTGGAGATTACAGAGTATCCATGTTTCTGCATCTGCTGGAATGCACAGTGGATGCCCCTTGCAATGGGAGGTGCTTTCCCTGAAACTTCAGTTGCTTTTTTCACCCCTAATCCCTCCAGAAAAAAAAAAAAATTAAAAAAATCTCCAAAGCCAGGACCATTTGTATCTGGGACCAAATCGTCTGTTGTGCTTTATCCAAGTTAAAATTCAAAGAGAAACTATGGAGGACTTAAGAGCCTGAGGTAATTTGATCATATTCAAAGAGCCAGAACAGGTTGCTCCTCCATGAAGCAGAGTGGAAAATGTGCTCATGAGACTTGGACCATGAATGAAGAGTCAGTGCACATCAAGAAGTCCAGCTCTGCTCTCATGTGAACTTGAAAGCTCAGTGAGTGCAGCTGCCTTGGGGCTCTCTGCTTCCCTTTGTGGATCAGCTCTCCAACAGCACTGCACTCTCATTCCATCCCGAAGGAAAGTTTGGGATCCTGGCAGGTGGGGCCATCACTAATACCAGTGTGAGGATTTGACAAGGGACCATCCCTCAGTAGTGGTTGTTTCAGATAAATCACAGAATTCCAGAATGGGATTGGAAGGGACCTCAAAGCTCATCCCATTCCACCACCCTGCCATGGGCAGGGAGACCTTCCACTATCCCAGGGTGCTCCAAGCCCTGTCCAGCCTGCCCTTGGACAATTTCAGGGATCCAGGGGCAGCCACAACTGCTCTGGTCCTCCCCACCTTCACAGAAGAATTTCTGGACAATTTCAGGGATCCAGGGGCAGCCACAGCTGCTCTGGGAACCTGTGCCAGGGTGTCCTCACCTTCACAGGGAAGAATTTCCTCCTAATGTAAAATCTAAACCTACTCTCTTTCAGTTTAAAGTCTCTCCCTCTTATCATTACAATCCCTGGAAAAGGCTGAGCTTCAGGACTTCCTGAAGACAGCAGGAAGAATTCTGAGCTTCTTGTTGAGACACATCTCAGAAAAGACCAAAGGGACCTCAAAATAATGATCCTCTGCAGGCTGGTTTTGAGGTGTTTGCAGGGATGCTGTCCTGGTCAGCTCTTTGTGTGTTCCTTCCAGTCCCCAATAGCAATGCAGAAAAGGCAGCAGGATCTATGCAGAAAGTGTCTCTGGACTGGAAATCCTTCCCTGTGCCAGTGTCACAAACACATTCCCAGCTGGAGGGTGCTCCAAGCTCATCCTGCCTGGGGGCTGCCAGTGGGGTCAGGCAGAGGGGCAGCGTGCTGCCACCAGGCACGGTGCTCACCCAGACCAGGGCCAGAGGAAACAGAGCTCCCTGTGCCTACCACAGCCTCCTGAGCCCCCAAACCTGCTCTTCCAGAGGGACCTCATTAAGGCTGAGGTGCTTCTCTGGATCCAAAAGCAAAAGGGTAATGGGGGTGCCAGGGTCACCACCTGCTGTTTTTCTCTTGTCTGAGGTGAACACAACCCATCAGAGATGGGCCTGCACTCCTGAAAGGGGTCACAACCCTTTTTGCCATTCCTGCACACTCTCATCCTCTGAATTATTGTCTGATTTTCATTCCACTCCAGTGAGCTGTCAGGCATGGGTCTGGTAATGCAGGGCAGCAGAAACACAAACAGATGGGTAATTGACCCGCGTGCCTTCATTACCCCGCAGCTCAGCGCTGCCATCAACTCCTCGCGCTGCCACTCCAGCCCTGGCCTTTTCCAAGGGGGGTCCCCTGAAAGGCTTGGAGTTATTGTCCCCTGCCTCGTGCTCCACAGACACTGACAGGGGCTGACAGGCAGCACTGGCCAGGTAGAAGCAAACAGCTGTGAATCCTCAGGGAGATCCGCAGGCAGTCTGGAGGAGGACGGGATGGAAAACCACGTACACCGTGCACGGGGCAAACACTAAAACTGTTATTGCATCCTCTGGTACCCGAGCAAGGGGGCACTTACACTGATGCCTGCACAGATGGATGCATACACAAACACTTGCCATGCAGAAAGGGACAAGGGGATAGATCTCCCTGCTAATGTAAGTCTGCCAAGCAACACTGAAATCATCGGCACTAAATCCATTTGCACTTTTATAGGATTTGGCAAGTAGCCTTTCTAGCAGGGAGCAAGCTGTGAAGGCTCAGGTGCCCAACTCCTGTATTTATGCTGTGGGAACTGGGCACTTAACTCTGCAAGGGACTTTTATAAATCCCCTCTCGTGTTATTTTCCTTTCTTCTGTTTTCTGTTCCTTTTTATTTTCCCTTTCACTGTGTATTTCCCTTTTTTCTGTGGAACCAAACCCATTTAGTATCTCTCAAAACAGGTCAGGACAGCAGAATGCTCATTGCTTCAGAACTAGCACTTGGTTTCAGGAGACAAAAAACACCACACCTGGGAATAAGGGAGGCTTTGCATTCAGGGTCTTGTACTGTGCTGGGGTCTGAGAATGGGGTGAAAGGGTTTTGGGAAGGGGAAGTTTCTTGTTACCTTTCTCCTGCATAGGAGATGGGCTCTGTTCTCAGCTAAATCACTACTTGCCCTGGAGGAATGCAATTTGTACCTTCTTTATTCATGACGGCTTTTAATTCTTCACTATAACTTTCTCAAGCTGTTAATGAAATGGCTTTTGAAAAGAGGAAAAAATACCTGAAATTACTTTTTTATTTCCTTTTTTTTTTTTTATTTTTTTCATCCATAATCCTGTTGTTCTCTCTCCAGGTCTCCAGATCATCTTCCCTCAGTATTTACAAGAGAAGTTTGTCCAGTCTGCCTTGAGTTACATCATGTGCAATGGGGAGGGCGAGTACATCTGCAGGGACAGCCAGTGCGGCTGCCAGTGCTCCGAGGAGTTCCCGCAGTGCAACTGCCCCATCACCGACATCCAGATCATGGAGTACACCCTGGCAAACATGGCCAAGACCTGGACAGAAGCCTATAAAGATCTGGAGAATTCAGGTAATTGAGAAAAACTCGCTTTTTCAATTTGTGGCAGGTCGTATCAGGTAAAAATCTTTTATTCCCTCAGTATAATGCTTTAGTTTGGCCAAAAATTAGAGGATATTGAACCCAATGGTCTTAGTCTTGAGGGAATAGCCTTTTTTCCTCTATTAAATACACAGACAGGAACATACACCACTCATGGAATTATGTGTACAGGGATATTTTCCATGCAAGTATATGTTTGTTAGTTCTGGCACAGCATCTTCACACAAGGTGCTCAAGAGCCACAGGCTGGTCTCATCAAACCCCTTCCCATCCCAGGGGATCTGACCCGGCACTGAGAAGGTGGGAGCCCTGTGGAGAGGGGAGTTCCAGTCCCACACTCTGTCCCTGCTGCACTCGATCCAAGCACAGGCCAGGGTAGATAATTATATTCAGGCTCCCTCCCCTTGAGATTTGAATGGGGGAAGGTGTTTTTCATTTGCCATGTTAAAGTGACATATTGCAGTGCAATTTCTGCCATATTCCACCCAGGGCTGGAGGCTTTTCAGGGCTAGATGGAGTGATTATCTTTATGTCTAAAGCTGCTGCATCTGATTCATCACTTTGATGCATCATGCGTGAACTTATCCTTTGAGATAGAAGTTGCTATCACAAAAGACTGCAGTATTAGTGTTTTGCTTCTTTGTTTTAATAAATATTCCCAATAACTTGAGGATTTTCTTCATTATGAACAGCAGAGGAGAAATCTCTGATGACATCTGAAGGCTTTTCCAATAAAGTGGACTGAAAGGCACAGGAGTGCTCTGAAAGCAAATACCATTTTGCACAGGAAGCCACTGAAAGCCCTAAACATTTGTATTCTGCTTCTGGTCTGTGTTGGATCCTCTGTTAATTTGAAAAAATTGTGCAGGGTGAATCAAGAGTTGCTGTGATTTGGAATAGTATCTTCAAAGTCAAGGAGGCTGCAGTGAACTGAAACTGCTTTGAATCAGCTCAGGAGATTTTTTAGCCCTATGCTTCACTGCTTGTGGGTAAATTGAGAAAAATAACATTGCCTTATTCTCGGCATTTTAGAATGGCTGGTCAAAAAATTCAGTGATTGTGGATTAAAAACAATGCCAACTTTTAATTAAGTCATTTGGTGGAGTTAATCTCTTTGTTTATTCAAGACTATTGCTTTCTGATGTAAATGGGATTTTAAATTTTTTAACACTGGCAAAAGGAAAATTTCATCTGTGAAAGAGATGTCTGACCTGTCAATTCCCCGTGGTGCCACCTTCTGCTGAGTCACTGCCTTAGGGATGGGGTGACTCAGCAGAAAGAGGGGCCAAGCTGCATCATGGGAGGTGTAGTTCCAGCCGTCAGCAAGGTTTGCTGTGCAGAGGAATAAAATAACCACAAATGCAAACAGACTTGTTAATTAATTGCAAATTCTCAGGGTTAAGAATGAACTATTCCCAGAAACAGGGAATATCCCCATCCATACCACTGACTTCCAGGCAGAGTTGTAAATAAATATAAATAATGAAGAAACTATGTTGGTTTTAAAGTACTTTTCTTTTTCTTCATCACCCTAATTTTAAACAATCCCATCCAGCTTTTGTTTTGCCAGATTTGCTGCTCATTTGTTTTTCCCCCAACGTTGCACTGCGGTAGCAAAATGTGCACACTGCACCGAAATTCCTGCCTCGCCCGTCTTGATGAAAAATGTACCACATTCATCATCACAGGGAAAAGAGCCTGGGCTCCTGCACAAAAAGGCTTTTGAGGAAATTGATTTATAAGGGGCGGGAAGCAAATGCAAGGCTTTTACTGCTGAAAGGTACCCGGAGTAATCAGCATGGTCAACAGAAGCAATTATACCTGATGGTGGTTTCAGAGGCCCACGGAAAAGAACAGAGTCAGGTCTGGGGAGGAGAAGGGCACTGGCAGCAGCATTAAAAACAGAGTGAAAACCTGAGGGATGACTAAAAAAAAAAATCTCTTGGTTATCTTTGGGGGAGAAAGGAGACAAGCAGATGTCCCACGGATGTTGGTAGTGCAGAGATGATGATTATTTTGATGAGGAGCTCGGTTACACCATGTGATGAGTAGGATGTGAACATCCACTTACCATCCATGTCAGGATGGGACTGACTAATGTACAGATATCCTTTGTTAGGCAGTGAGCATGAACTGCAAGTTGATGAATAATAGGAAATCTGTTATGCAAATATCTTTAACTTTGTACTATAGGATTTAAATTATCTGATTTTTTCCATTAATTCTATGGATTATTTCTTTTTTTTATTTGAAAAGATGTCAGCCTTTACAAGCTCTTCATTTCCTTCTGAAAATAGGATGAAGGAATTAAAAAAGAAAAAAAAAAGATTGGGAAAGGATCAGAAATAATGCAGACAATGTAGAGGAAAAGACGGCTATACTTCTTGTTGACTTGTTTGGGAAGTTTATGGCAGGGTCCTAGCCCAGCTTCCCTCTAGAAGCAGGACCACAGCCAGCACTAGGTCAAGTCAGCCTTGGTTTTGTCTAGCAGAGTCTAAAATGAGAGATTTTTATACATCTCTGATCATGTTCCAGCACTGCATTACCTCCAAGTGACGGAGTTTTGCAGTAAATCATTTTAATTTCTCAAGCTGCAAACTGCGTATTGCTCCTTGTTATGGAAACTGTCTCTCAAAAGAGGAGTTTTGCTCATATCTGTGAATACCTTTTGCTGTAATTAAATATCCCTTGTCCTCCTCTTTACCAAATGACACCAGTGCAGCTCCCCACCCCTGACTTTGCAGAACTTGTGCTCACAGCACCTGGGTGTCCCTCAGCTCTGCCCTCCCAGTCTCTGTTCATCCCTTTTAGGTGGATTCCCCAGGCGTAGCAGTGCCAAGAAAAGGTGAATATCAACTTCCCCAACCAGGATTCAGCCCAGTATGAAGTTTTTTTTTTCCAGTGAGAACAGGATGTTGACCCACCTCAGCCCCCAGGACCTTCCTCCGCTGATTGTGCCCAAGCCTGTGCTGACACCTGGGGTTTTTCTCTCCTGGTACAAAACATTGCTCTTGTCGTTATTGCATTTGATGGAGTTCTTATTGTCCCACTCATTGCATTTCTCAAGGTCTCACTGTGTCAAATATGGTTTTCTAGCATCAAAAATTGAGTTATTTTCCCCTGAGAAAGTTGGAACCATCTGGTTTTTCCTCATCTGAGGATATCCCAGCTGGGTAATCAGAGTCTGAGCAAACCACCCTTCTCAGGTAGGAAGGAGGGGCTGATCAGAAACAGAAACAGTATCAGAATATCTGAATGTGATGAAAAAAAACAAAAAACCTCAAACAAACCCTGCATAACGGTGGGTTTTTTTCATTATCAAACAAAATAAAATGGAAATAAAGTGATCAAAAAACAACAAACACAGGAAACAGCAACACTGAACAATATATTTTTCGATCAATTGGATTTGTTCTCTTTGGCTAAAATTGACACCTTGTGTTCTCACCCGAGCCCTGCAAACTATTTTATTTTATTTTCCTCATTACAAAATGCAACTCATTTGACTTCAAATGGAGTTAAATGAGAGGTAAGAATCAGAATGTTCTTTTTAAAAAATGCAAAAGCAGGACATTTTAACAGCATCCAAACCTTTCCTCTGGGGAATTTTTAAAGCTTTGTTTTCCCCCTTTTTTTTTAATTACACAGCAAAATGCTTTGCCTTCAACAACAAACAGCATTTCAGGACCAGCTGAAAAAAACTGCAAATGAGAACTCTTTAACTGAAAATGATTGCAACTCCCAGCTTTTTGTTTATAACCCTTAGACTATCACCTCATGTTCCAGGAAATTTCTCTGTTGTTTTTTTTTTTTTTTCTCCACCATGCACATTTTAATTGTGTTGTTTCACCTTGATATTCACTATAGGGGTTTTTTTTTCCTATTTGGAAGCAGCAACAGCCATGGAATTAGTGGCTTCCTGGGGCAGAGTGACAGAGCAGTGAGTTAATGGACATCACCTTCCCCTGGCAGAGCTGATGGCCTCGTCATCTCTGCTCTTTCTCCACCCTGCTAATAAAACCTTTGTCACAGCTCAGAAACCTCCGTATTTCTCCCCATTTTTTGGTGTGTGTTCCAGATGAGTTTAAATCCTTCATGAAAAGGCTACCTAGCAACCACTTCCTGACCATTGGGAGCATCCACCAGCACTGGGGGAACGACTGGGACCTGCAGAACCGCTACAAGCTGCTGCAGAGCTCGCTGGAAGCCCAGCGCCAGAAGATCCAGCGCACCGCCCGCAAACTCTTTGGCCTCAGTGTCCGGTGTCGGCACAATCCTAACCACCAGCTGCCTAGGGAAAGGTACCTCCATCCTTCCTCAGGCGTGGGGGAGCTGGGCTGAGGGGCTGGTGGAGCTGAGCTTGAGCTTGGGACTACTCCCAACAGGAGTGTTTGGATGTAGGGGGTGTTGGCGTGGATGCTTGGGGGAAAGGATAAAATCTGGGAGTGGGTTGAAATTCCTGGAGGTGTAGGTAACTTTTTTCACATTCCTGACTACATTCATATCCCTTCTGTGTGGTTTTACCTACCCAGGGGAAAGGGCATAACTTATTCTTTAAGTTCTGCAAGAATATGTTTAGTCTGTTCTGCAGACTAAGCTGCTTTTTTTGTGGATTTCCCTCAAGATCCACAGCTGAGCTTTCAGCCTCTGCTTGCAGTTAAAAGAGACATGTGGAGCACAAGGTGCTTCAGCCCATTTTTGCATTGTGCTCCTCAATATCTCTAGAGTAAAAGGAGAAGCTTTAGTTTCACTTGGAATATATCACATTTTTGCTGTGAGATGCAGCGTGAACCTGTAAAACCTCACTGAGCAGAAGCCTTGCAAGGTTATTACAGGTGGAGAGAGCAGATTTTCCATTACTGCTACAGCAATTATTGATATCTAATAATCCCCTCCTGCTGGCTCCTTTTAGCCCTAACCCATAGCTGAGTTGCTTCAAGTCATTTTTAGAGACTTACATTTCTGGATTTTCATAAACATCTCTTGCTGTGTCTTTCTACATTGTCTGGACTAAGCAATATGGAAAATGTTGGGGGAAAAAAATGAGTCTGAGTGCCTTTTCTTCCATGCTTCTCTTGGAAAGGTCAGGCCAAGGTAATATTTGAAGAGAAACTGTTTGTCCACTTCCTTCATTACCTAAATATTCTGTTTCAAGACAAAATTGACAGACTGACTGGTGTCTACAGCTCTCATCCAGCTCCCTGGCTGCTGAGCACGCTGACTTTTCATTTCATCACAGTGCAGCTCAGAAAACCCTTCCAGGGCTTAACACCTCTTTAATTACCAAGAAATCTCATGTTTCTAGACAAAAATTTGATGGACTTACTAGGGATGAGGAGAAATATCTATTAAATGTAAGAGATTATGAAATAAAGTCTTTGGAGAGCTTCCTAAATCTGGCCCATCCCTGCCAAGTGGCTGAGCTGTTCTGACCAGGCTGAGTGCTGGAGGAGCCACAGGCATGTCCAAGGTGGAATTTTTAGTTGTTTTTGAATTTTTAACAACAATAACAACAAAGTGAAGCAGCAGTGAGGAAATCTCCATCCGACCATGTTACTCCAAAAGATTCAGACAAATATGTCTTCAGCATTTATCATCTATTTTAAAAACCCAGCCAAGCAGAAAGGGAGCCTCCAACTACTACAATGAAATGTGGGGGAAGGAGGGTGGAATGGATGATGGCAGATGGGTTTTTAACTGACTGATGTGCTTGATTTGTTTAAGTCAACATCAGCAGGCATATTATAATTTCTTTTCTTGTTTGTCATTCTGCATCTGCAGCTAGGCAGGGGAGCAGTGTGGTGGGAGCTGTGTAGTGGAAGAGGTGCAGCCCATCATTCTCCTCACAGAGCTGGGAAATACTCTCATTTTCTAATTGTTGCTGTACAGAATGACAGAGGCTTATCAAGAATGCCAGTGGCTTTGAAAGGATGGCATGGTTCTATTAAGAGCAAGCCTCTCTCTCTTTAATACACATAATTGTAAGCCTGCATTATACATTCAAAGGCAATGTAAAAAAAAAAAAAAAAACAAACGAGATTGCAGTTGATTGTCCTCAGGGAAAGGAATAGTTGGTGTTTCCAAAAGGAAGATAAGAAAGGAAGAGTAGGGATTCTGGCAATTAGGCTGATTCTCCATGACCCTTTGCAATGGCTAAGGAGACAGAAATATTAAAAAAAAAAAAAAAAACAAACTATACATCTATATATCTATACATCTATATATCTATATATCTATCATCTATATTTTATCTATAGAAATATAGATAAATATCTAGATATATCAATATATAAATATATAGGTATAGACATATAGATACTGATATATTTGTTCTGTACTTCTTTTGTCAAAATCCAGGAAAGTTTACAGGTTTAAAACAGAGGCAAGTCTGCTGGTTGAAAAAGGAGACCACTCCTCAGTTAATAAAACTTTGATGTCGAATGATCACCTGTGATTTTATTTTAAAGCACTGGATGTAAAATAGAAATAACATCCAATGGAGAGAGGGGTTATACATGTTCTGGCTTGCAGCCAAAATACATCTCACAGCTGCTGAGGAAAAAAATAGCATTTTTTACTGCACTGTTCCATACAGAAAACCCAACAGTACCCCCAGAGCAGCTAGTGCTGGTTGGAAAGTGAAAAGTGTGTTTACAAAGGAAATTATTTAAGTCCCTGCCTTTTTTCCTGCAAATAAAACCCAAAAATCTGTCTGGCTCCCTGTTCCCAGCATTGCCAGGGAGCCACATGTCCAGTGAGCAACAGTCAGAAAACACTGCAAAGTAATTCTCACTCAGAGCTTGGCCTGCAGGTCATATTTATTTTCACTTTAGAATAATGGAATTATTGAGGTTGGCCAAGACCTCCAAGCTCAGTGAGTCCAACCTGGGCTTGATCCCCATCTTGTCGCCCCAACCAGAGCAGTGAGTGCCACATCCAGGCGTTCCTTGGACATCTCCAGGGGTGGGGATTCCCACCACCTCCCTGAGAATATTTTAAATGAAGAACAATGGCTACTCTGGCACAGGTTTCCAGCTGTTCAACAGTGGATCTTTCCAGCATCCTCCTGCTCTGACACCTCTTAGGTACAAAGCCATGACAGGGGTGTGTTTTAAAAAGTTACCTCCTGTCAGCTGAAGGGCTTTGGCTGGTCCTGTGTATATTCTTAACCTGTCCCAGTTGCAAGAAAAAATGGGGTAATTTATAACACTTCACTTCTCTCTCACACTTCCCATTGTCGTATTTGTAGCTGATGCTCAGCTCTGCCCTGGATTCTGCATTTTTATTTAATTACATCCTTTATTGCTGCCATCAGCAGATGGTGGGTAGTCTCCTGTTTCATTTTCTTGGTTTTTTTAGTCCTACTTGTGTCTTTGCTGAAAGCTAAGACACACACACACAAACAAACAACCTCCCATCCATCCTCCACAAAGGTCATCTGGGGAACAGGAAATTTACTGGTGTCCATTGCAAGATATCATCTGAGGTTTCTTTTCCATTTTGTTCTGCTGGCTGTTAGTATAAAGAAGGACAGAACTATCCAGTAATTTTTTTTAAGCCAGAAGACACCCAAAATGGACAGAATGTGATCACCTGACTCTAATTTATTCCATTCCTATGGTGGTCCTTGATCCAGCAACTCAGGGCATTATCAACACTTAAAACCTGTGTAAAGCATCAGTCCAGCACTGAACAAATCCAGGTGCATTTGACTGGCTTTCCAAACAGGAAGCACAAAGATTCAGATTGCTGAAAAGTGAGCAAAAATTCACCTGTGAGCAGAAGACAGCCTCAGCCCCCTGGGATGGTTTGGAAATGCTTGTTGCTGTCAGCTTGTGGCTGTGTTTTACAGCCACACTGCACTGTGCTGTCCCCTCCCCTCCGAGGCAGAGCTGTCCCAGGAATTAAGAGGAGCCCTGTGCACTTTGTAGGGACCAGGGCTGTCACTGTCTCCCTCTACAGCAGATGTTTATGGAGGTCACTGCCTTGCTCCCAAGCTCCTCAGCCAACCTTGTTCTTTCTGCCAGCAGAAGAGCTCCTCTTGGCTGGGAATAGGGGGAAGAGACCCTGGGAGCCCTGTACCACAGGAAGAATGTGAAAATTGTCTGTTCACATGTCCAACACTTCAGAATTTTTCTTCTAATGCCCTTCCTTTTTTCCTTGCCCTGTTTTTTCCTTCTTTTTACTCCTTTTCTTCCTGCTTTTCATTTCTGCCTGTTCTCTTTCAGTGGTTGCTGTTGCAGTTTTTCCCTTTCTCCACCCATTACTCCTGCCCACCGTGTTTCTCTCTCATTTTTCATTTTACCTGCACATTTTCCTCTCTTTCTTTCCCAACCTTTCTGCTTCTGCTCCTTGATTATTTCTTTCCTTCCAGTGCTTTCCTCTGTTTTACACTCTCATCGCTCCACTCACTCCCTCCCCCTAATCATCTTGCTGTTCTTTGCTGCTGTATCATTTAATGCCTTCTTTGATACAGCCTACAGCTTAATGATTATTCGGAGGTCAGGCGATGCAGGTGCCATGAATTTCACTAATCCAGCTCTGAGAGCCTCTGTCCATAATCACTCCTCCTGTTCTACAGGGGCTGAATCCTAATTTGTCATTAGCCAGTCCTCTCACTGCAGCACTACCAAGAACTTTTTGCCCAGAGGAGACAATGAAGTATTCATTAGCCAGGGGGGAGGTGGAGGGGAGGGAGCAGCGGCTGCACACAGGGTTCTGCTGAAGGCTGCTGAGAAAGGAGTTGCTGTACCCAGCTTTCCTGGGGCAGTGGGAAGGGAGGAAAGGGGGAAACAAGGCAACATGGAAGTGGGTTGTGCAAAAAGTGAATGTGGGTTGCGGTGTCATTTTCTAGGAGTCGTTCCAGGGCTGCAGGATGTGGGGTTGAAAGTGCTGATCCAGTAGCTGTGGGAGTGGTGGGGCTCAGGGGTGGGTGAGTGGGGCTGATTTTAAGAGAGTGACTTCAAGAGGTGATTATTAGCAGAAGACTTTTGGGGATTTTAAGGAGGAATAGTTTTAGCAGCTTTGTCTCTGTGCATCCTGGCTTCTACCCTCTTTTCTACTCTTCTGAGCTCTGCACCATAAGCAGAGGTTGCTGTTTGCTTTGCCTTGTCCTGTTATGGGTTTGTTTTTTAGAGGGTGGGGCCAATTGCCAATGACCTTAAGAGCAGTTTTCTCCTGCTAGCCTGGGAGTTCTGCTGCCCTTGTGATGTCCTGATAGCCCCCTCTGGCATGGCTTTATCAGCTCCATTCCCATGTCACTGTGGCCCTGCTGGGATCCGTGGCAGGACACAGTGCCCGTCTTGGCTCCTAGTGCAGATTGAAGAGAGAGAGCTCAGGTGAGCATTTCTACCTGGTAGCAATTTCTTGGAAGGATTTTGCTCATCACCAAAGGAGTAAACAGCAGATGAAAGATTCAGTCTAGAAATAGACTGGAATAGCTCCCAGAAGCCACGGCAGGGCATCGATGTTCTGAGAGCTCTGCCCTGAAAACACTGTAGCTCCAGCAAGATGCCAACACCAAGTCCCTGTGAGGCCTTACAGTGCTAATTCTTCCTTCTCCTCACCTGCAGGACGATACAGGAATGGCTTACCCGAGTCCAGTCCCTGCTCTACTGCAATGAGAACGGGTTCTGGGGGACGTTTCTGGAAAGCCAACGGAGCTGTGTTTGCCACGGTGGCACCAGTCTGTGCCAGCGCCCCATCCCCTGCATCATTGGGGGCAACAACAGCTGTGCCATGTGCAGCCTTGCCAACATCTCCCTCTGCGGCTCGTGCAACAAGGGCTACAAGCTTTACCGAGGCCGCTGCGAGCCCCAGAACGTGGACTCGGAGCGGAGCGAGCAGTTCATCAGCTTTGAGACGGACTTGGACTTCCAGGACCTGGAGCTGAAGTACCTGCTGCAGAAGATGGACTCCCGCCTGTACGTGCACACCACTTTCATCAGCAACGAGATCCGCCTGGACACCTTCTTCGACCCGCGGTGGCGCAAGCGCATGTCCCTCACCTTGAAGAGCAACAAGAACCGGATGGACTTCATCCACATGGTGATCGGGATCTCCATGCGCATCTGCCAGATGCGCAACAGCAGCCTGGACCCCATGTTCTTTGTCTACGTCAACCCGTTCAGCGGGAGCCACTCCGAGGGCTGGAACATGCCTTTCGGGGAGTACGGCTACCCGCGCTGGGAGAAAATCCGCCTCCAAAACAGCCAGTGCTACAACTGGACCCTGCTGCTGGGCAACCGGTGGAAAACCTTTTTTGAGACCGTCCACATCTACCTACGCAGCCGGACTCGGCTGCCCTCCCTCCTGCGCAACGAGACTGGCCAAGGGCCCGTGGACCTTTCCGACCCCACCAAGCGCCAGTTCTACATCAAGATCTCAGACGTGCAGGTCTACGGCTACAGCCTGCGCTTCAACGCGGACCTCCTGCGCAGCGCGGTGCAGCAGGTCAACCAGTCCTACACGCAGGGCGGGCAGTTCTACTCCTCCTCCTCCGTCATGCTCTTGCTGCTGGATATTCGGGACCGAATCAACCGCCTGGCGCCTCCGGTGGCCCCGGGGAAGCCCCAGCTGGATCTGTTCTCTTGTATGCTCAAGCACCGCCTGAAGCTCACCAACAGCGAGATCATCCGAGTGAACCACGCCCTGGACCTGTACAACACCGAGATCCTCAAACAGTCCGACCAGATGACAGCCAAACTCTGCTAACCCTGGACTTAGCAATGGACACTTTGGTGATTGATCCTTTTGCTGTATAAAAAAACAGAAAAATAAAACAAACAAAAAAAAAAAACCAAAAAAAGAAAAAAAAAAGAAAAAAGAGAAAGAGAAAAAAAAGTAAAAAGGAAGAAGTAAAAGTGGGGGAAAGAAAAGGGGAAAAATAAGATTTGTAAAATGTAATTAATATACAAAAGAGGAAAAAAAAGAGGAAATTCTTCATTTGTTGAAAACTAAACCCGTTCTAGCAGCTGTATAAGACTGTCAGGCATGTTTGTTATTTCTATAATCCGTCATAAAAGGGTAACACCGTACTCTCTCTTGACCTTGGGGGTGTTGCTTGCGAGTCCTCAGAGGCAGCAGAGGAAATAAAGGGAGGAGCAGAGAGAGGGGCAAACTTCTGTACTGAACTGTCAAGTTTTCTGCTATGCAGGTGCCAAGACAAAGAGACATACAAAAAAAAAAAAAAATCTAAGCAAACAAGCAAACAAACAAGAGTTATATGTAAATGTAAAAGAGCTACCATTATTCCTATAGTGGGAGTAAATGGTTAAAGATAAAAGATATTTCTTCTGTTGAGATTTATGCCAGCTTTATGTTGAGTTATTCCCGCAGCCTGTGCTGAGCTTTGCTGGAGGACAGGAGGGGATGGCCGCCCTTGGGGAGTCAAACTGATCCCTCCTTGGTGAGACCACACAGAAAAGGTAGAGGGTGGGTGCAGGGCTCAGGTGTCCTCACTTTGGGATTTCCATCTTGGAAGACATTTCACCAGAGGTAGAGGCTCAGCAGATGCTGGAAAATGGGATGTGTTGGGTTGTTTAGCTTGTCCTGCAGTTTGTGCCCCACACTGGGCTGGTGCTGCCTTCAGTGGTGCCAGAGAAGGAGCAGCACCTGTAAATCTTCACTCACTCATCTTTCAGGCCCTTCTACATATTCCTAAAGCAGAGAAAGCCAAAATCACAAAGACAAAGCTGAGTTTGTCTTTCTGCCTCTGGTGCTGGGTTTTCCAGTAGCACTGGGTAACCCTCATCACCACAAAAACTAAAGCACAATGCAAGGGAATACATTTCCAAGGAAACCTGGAGACACTGAAGGGTACATAGGTCATTTTTGTTCACTGGGAAAAGAAAAAATCCTTTTTACTTTCTTATGTTTCTGTGGCTGTGAATAATATCCTTGTCTCACTTACACTTTGTCCACAAAAAAAAAAAAAAAAAATACAGCAAATATATGAGAACATTTTATTAAAATATATGCAAAATTAGTAAAAAGGAGGGGTGGGAGGGAAGAGCACAACAACCAAACCTATCCTGAATTTGCAAGGATAAAGCCAAATTAAAAAGAATTGAGCTATCAAAAACAAAAAAAAATACTAAAATAAGCAAAAGGTGGGTAAAATTTTTTGAATGTGTGGGGACGTGTTTGGATTTAAACAAAAAGTAGGATGTTGAATGGAGTGTGTGAATGAAGGATCATCTGAGCTGGGTGATGAAGTCTGAACACTGTGGGAGGTGAGTAGTGAGGTGTTTTCTCTTAATTTCACTGTTTTTTTTAGATGAAGTTGATTGAGAAGTGCTAGTGAGAGACTGGAATTCCTGCCCTCCAGAAAGGGAGAAATAAATCTCTGATCCTGATGGCTTCCAGAGGTGGAGAAACATTCTGGGGAAAACAGGTCTGAGCAAGGGGCACAGTCCTGATCCAAAGATCAAGATTCAGGTCTGGCTCAAGACTTAACATGTTGATTCAACTGAGTTCAAAATAGTCTTGCAGGAATTTTGACTTTATTTGAAGACTTTGGCTGAGATTTTGAGAGTAACATCAGTTCATGCATTGTAGTGTTGGTCATGTGGCACCAGGGGCTTGGGCAATTAAGGCTGGTCTCACGTTTAATTTTTATGATTTAGGTTGTTCTCATCCAAATTTCCTGAGAAGGAACTGGATACCTTAAGGAAAATATACATTCACTGAACTCTCCTGCTGAGCTACCAATTGAGGGCATAAGAAAAGCAATTTGGATAATCAGTTAAACCCCAAAAAGGGGGATTAGTCACCAAAGTCTGTCTATCCAAGAATGGGTATCAGAAGAAGAGCTGGGTGAATTAAACAGCAAGGATGTTTTAGGGATATTTCCTTTAGTAGTAGCTTTTTTTCCCTACCTTGTATCAAGATCTCTCTTTCACATGGTCAGTCCACACAAGAGGCCTTGGGCTACCCATTTTTCCCACTGTTTGTTTTCCATTTGCTTGGTCTTTGCTTTGTGTAGCAGAAAATCATATTAGACCTTACTATTCCAAGAGTGTTCTTTATAGATGTGACATTTCTGCCTCAGCTTTCTGATAAGAGAACATTTGGCAGCAATCGTATGCATGGAGGTGAGTTTTAAGCAAATAGTAGAGAGTATTCATGGGAAATGAATGTCAAATTTGTAATTATCAGTAGAAATAATGTTCCTGACAGTTACATCCATCTAAGCAGGGAATAGAAATGTACTGTTTAAATTACATGTATGACCCAAAGAGCTGACACTTGAAAGAACTATGGTTATAGCTCTAAAAATACTGACTGCTGCCTGAGCTGCAGCCTGCATGCAATGATGGGATTTGCTCATGGCTGGGAATAGTGACCGTGCCAACACAGAGCGAAATTAATTCGATAAATTCTTTCCTTTGAGATAAGAATCCAGGTCTAGTGAGTAGAAGCCAAAGAAGCTGCAATTAAATCTCAGATCTCGTGGGTAACTAGCAGCACATTACCTAAATCTTGCCTGGTGTCTGTGGCACTGGTGGGGATCAAATCAATTGCCCTCATGTATCTTTAATGATGCCTTGGGATGAGCAGCCCCCAGCATTTACTGCCTTCAGCAGTGGGGGCAACTCCATAAACCTTAAGCAAGGTTTTGGGTGCCAACACAACATAAAATCCTGGCTGGATTTAAAACCAAGTGGATGGCATGGAGTTGAGAGAGGCACGTGAGGTGACATTCCCATGGTTGGGAAAGGGGAACAGTGCAGGGAGAGGGAAGGAGTTTTGGCACAGACATGCTGTCAGCATATGGAACTGACCTTGAGAGCACCTGATGGTGCATCTGGAAATGATGGCACACCAACACCACAAAGTGCAGCCACGTTCCAACATGGCTACATCAAATTTTGTGAAGCAACACAGCAAAAATGTCAAGAAGAAACTCCCATGTCCTTCAAGGTAGGGAAGATGAAGTTGTTTGGCAGCTCTACCACCATTTTAGGCTCACTGAGAAAATGGAAAATAACCCAAACAAGCCGATCAAATGTGGATGATTGCTTTTGATGCTAGGAAATAAATTAAACAGGGCACATGCTCTGCTTCCACTGCCCAGTCCCAAAAGCCCTTCCCCAGGCAAGGGGTAGTCTGTGACAGCCAGATCCAGAAACATCCCCCAGGTTTGGTTTAGGGAATTTGTTCTGCAGGCAATAGGAGATGCGGAGGCATGTGACATCTGTTTCAGCAAGAGAAAGCAGTTCAGACCCCCAGAGAGGCCATGCCAGTGCTCCAGTGGGGTTAATGGGCTCCTGAGGAAATGATGGTCATAAAAATGTGTTTGACAAGACAATGACTGGAATGGAGGGCAATTAACAGAGCAGAATTAGGTGGGACCCACAGAACCCCTTCACCATAAAGCTCGACCCCCTAACCTGCATGATCAGTGGGCACTGTTGTAGAGTTTAATGATAAAAGGGATTTTCAAACTCTCAAGTCAGAGTAACCATTCTCTGACTGTATGAGAACAAAACCCAGCTTCCTTCCTTGGCATGAGAAGGAGTTAGGGAGCAATCCATCAGATTGTCCAGCTCAGCTAATAGAGATGCTCCTACCAATTCAGGACAGATACTTGTCCCTTGCTGTCATTAAATTAGGCACTACATGAAAGCTTGGAGCTTCCAAATAACCCAGAGAAAAAAAAAGAAAAGTCAATTCCAGGTGTCCCAAAGCCAAAGCATGGAAAAAGCAGCAGGTAGGGCAGAATCCTGCTTCCCTTCAGATGCAGAAGACTTCTGGGACCATTTTCCTCCAGTCACGTGACAGAAATTCCTTGGGAGCTTCCTAAGAAATCTGCTCTTTTAAAATTATTCAAATTTAGACTCACCAGCCGGTGTGGTAGAAAGCAAAAGACGTAAGCAAATCTTATTAACATGCTGATGCTATGGCTTCAGGAGTGTGCAGAATGTCCATTTGGATCAGGGCTAAGAGCACAGCATGGAGTTGCCATGGAAACGTGGGGAGGCCATTAATTAGCTATCACATGGAATCATCAGGAAGAATCTGGACCTCAGCAGCTTTGGCCTCCTCAGAGGCAAAGGGCACATCCCCAGAGACCCCCCAGTCAGGCCCAGTGACCCCTGCACAGCTCCAGGAACAAGCACATGCTGGAGCAGAAATGTCCTCTTGAAGGGATGAGAAGTAGGTGCACAAGAAAGGGGAGGGGGCAACAAGCAGAGAAATAGATACAGCATGGAGATAATTCCCCTTTTTCTTCCCCTTCCCTTCCCAGGAAGCCTGGCTGCTCTTGTGTGGAAGAACACAAGAGATCTGCTGCTTTTTGAGCTGGCAAAGCTTGTGCCAGAGACCTCGAAGACATCAAGAGCAGCCCCAAGGCCCTGCAAATCCAATTATGGAGTTTGCATCTTCTTGGGTGGGCTTCACCTGGGATGAGGGAACTCCAATGCTCCCTAAAGCCATCCTGCTCCCTAAAACCATCTCCTGCTAAACCAGGAATCCCTTTCCCCAAAGAGAAACATGGGCAAGTAAGAAAGACTTCTTGGCCACTTGCCCAGCCTCTCTTCAGAGCCAGAATCCTGTAAGCAAGCTGTGATGGACTTCAGCTGCCATGGATGGGATGTTCTTTTTAGCTCCTTAGCCCACTTGCTAAAACACAGCTCAGGAGGACATTTGGCAGATGGTGCCTCCTGCACAGGGGTGTAGCAAGATCCCCAGCCTGGCTGCTCAGTCCCAGTGCTGCAGGAGACACGCTGGGTGCCAGTCCCAGC